ATTTTGGATAAGAATGGAAGATTGGATATAGGTCTGTAGTTTTTCAAGTCATCTTGATGAAGCGAAGGTTTCTTAAATAAAGGTTTAATTACAGCTACCTTAAAAGCCTGTGGTACATATCCATTTACTAAGGATAGGTTAATCATATCTAAAATGGGGCTGGTAATCAGAGGGAACACTTCCTTAAATAATTTGGTTGGGATTGGGTCTAACATACAAGTTGAAAGTTTAGATGAAGCTAATATTTCTGATAACTTAGGAAGCTCCACAGGATCAAAACAGTGCAAACACAAATCAAGTTCTGCAGTTATTTCCAATGTTGTCTGTAAATGACTGCATATCTATAACCTTCTATGCAGGGTGTTGACATGGGGCCTGATAGATCAGTGTAAACTAGTTGTAAAGATTGTCAGCCTTTTTGTCTGGCTCTCTGTTTCTAGTCTGGGTGAATTTCCCTTTTGTACACACCTCACATAACTGCCCTGGTTTAGTTTTGCTTCCTTATATCTCCATACCTTTAACTATCTTTTGAAGCTTTTGTACATCTTCATAATTGCAATGGCCCAAAATCTCATGCAGGTCTGCAAATTAATGGCATACTTTACATTCATCTGTCACACCCTCAATTGTGTGGGTAAATAGTACAGGTTACCACTTTCATATTTGTCAAACCTGACTCCATCTTTGTCCATCACATGACAGTTCCCCTGCTGGAAGGTGATAGTTGCTCTTCCATTTGCTGCCCTTGCGATCGAGAAGATTTCTTGTGGATACGATGGCATATAGAGTGCTTCTCGCAGCTGTGCTCTTTGCTGTCATACCTCGTTGTCTAGAAGGTGGATCACCGCAGTCCCTCTTTGTTGTGCCATCCCAGTGCACCAGGTTCCATCTGCTAGCTCCACAGAGTGGCCCTCCGGGTGGAATGCGCTGTCAAAACTTATAAACTTTGTGATGTCGTTGATTATGTGAAATGTTGTTCCTGCATCTACCCTAATGCCTTTCTTCTTTACATTGTCTGCTGGCCTGTCTTCTTTTGCGTGCTTGACCTTGAAGAGTAAGTCGTTTTCTTTCTCTTGTTGTTCGGAGACTTTTCTAGTACTTTCCAATCCCTCCTTTTTCTTGCACACAGATTCATGGTGTGTATTTCGTCTGCAGTAGCTGCAACATACGTTCCTGGAACACATTCTTGCCTTGTCTCCTTTTAGTCCACATTTGTAACATTTCAGGTTAGAATAATCATCTTTTCTGTTGGCAGTAAGGATTTTGCTGGTACTTTTGTTTAGTTTCACATCTGTCTTCATTACATAATCTGTACACTAAGTTTTGTTAATTTTTTCATCTTCTTCATAAACTCTTAATCTTCTTTTAAAGTCTGTGAATGTAACTTTATTTTCATTTTGCGTTACATGTACAGCCAGTGGTTTGAATGACTCTGGCAGGGCGTTTAGTATCATGGCTATAATTAGTCCATCACTTAGGTTCTCTCCTGCATCTTTTAATGCTGTAATGATATTCTCTGCCCTTATCAGGTAGTCGGTTACAGTCTCATTGTTGTACATTCTTAGGTTTGTCAAAGACGTGTGCAAATTTATTATTCTTGGCTTGCTCTTGCCTGAATAGTGTTCGTTTAGTATCTTCAGGCTTTTCTGCCATTGTCTACAGCATCGTGTCTTATCAGAGACAGGCTTTTATCATCTATTAGCCTTATTAGCTCAGCATAGCAGTCAGCATTTTTATGATTATCTTGTGCTCGCTGTTCATCACTCGTAGGCTCTTTCAAGATAGTCTCTTTAAAGCTTCAGAATGTGCAAATGGCCAAGAAATCTTGTTTCCCACAAGTCATGCTTATCTTCCGACCCATTGAAGAAAAGTTGAGGTGATGGCATTAATCCAGCCGCTCTCCTTGCCATCTTGCGAACCTTATCGCTTCAGTAGCTCCCGTGTAATACATTGCATTTAACTCAGTATAAGCACTCACTTATCTCAATGCTAATGAATTTAGCATAGCTTGTAGTAGTCCCGCTCAATCCGTACGGCTTTCTTCCTTAAATACATTTCTCTGGTCGTGGTCGGTGCTCTGCTTCCTGGGCCCATAACCTGTTGCGATGAGTGGTGGGCAGAGGTATTTACGTTGCAGCGATATTAAAATAAGTGAGTCATCGAGATTCTTCAGCCTCTATCAGGCATATTTATTAAAGCATTTTAACAAAGCTGCATACATGCCATTTCACTTACAGCGCCATCTTCTTCAGAGAAAAGAAAACATAAAATAATGATGTAATAACATTGTACATGCGCACACCAGGTGTAACACACAGAACAACAACAGCAGGTGGCAGTATTTGAACATGTGCTGAGTATGAGCGTTCACAATAGTAAAGTTTAACAAATATTCCACAGGATTTTAATAAGAACCCCAATTCCAATGAAGTTAGGACGTTGTGTAAAACGCAAATAAAGTGTTAATGCCCATGGCATTAGTAACCTGCACATCGGTGAAGGCAGCATTAATGCTGAGAGGTACAGTGTACAGTGAGGAGAACAAGTATTTGATACACTACTGATTTTGCAGGTTTTCCTACCTGGAAAGCATGTAGAAGTCTTTAATTTTTATCACAGATTCTCTTCTACTGGCTGCACGCTGGCGCAGTTGGTAGCACTGTTGCCTTACAGGAGGAGGTCCTGGGTTCGATTCCCGGCCTGGGGTCTTTCTGTATGGAGTTTGCATGTTCTCCCCGTGCATGTGTGGGTTCTCACCGGGTACTCCGGCTTCCTCCCACAGTCCAAACACATGCCTGTTAGGTTAATTGGTAACTCTAAATTGCCCTTAGGTGTATTTAGAGTTACTGCGATGGACTGGCGACCTGTCCAGGGTGTACCCTGCCTCTCGCCCATAGACTGCTGGAGATAGGCACCAGCTCCCCCGCGACCCACTATGGAATAAGCGGTAGAAAATGACTGACTGACTCTTCAACTGAGTGACGGAATCTAAACCAAAAATCACAGTGTGGTTTTTAAGTAATCAATTTGCATTTCATAGGTATTTGGTCACCAGTGAGAATCCTGGCTCTCACAAGCTCCAGCAAAACAACATCAGAGATGTGTGGTCAGGGATGAAGAAGATCACAGGCTTCAAGCAGAAGGATAATCAGACCAATGGAGGTCTGGACGGAGCCAATGAACTGAACACGTTCTTCAATAGGTTTAGTTCAGAAACAAGCTCAGCTTCTCCTGCTCACAGCCAAACAGACATCTCACCCCCCCTGTGACTCACAGCTTTACTGTCACACCTCAAATGTTTTATCTTCCACCTCAGCCATGGACCTTCTGCTTCTACATGTTTGCCTTCAACCATATGAGAAGATGCTGATGCTCCCTTTGCCTCCCCCTTCCACCTGTGTGTCTCAAGAAGTCAGGTGAAGATGAGACTGAATCGGAATAAGGCTGCAGGTCCAGATCGTGTCAGGCCTAGAGTCCTGAAGGGCGGTGCAGAGCAGCTCTGTGGGATTCTGCAGCACCTCTTCAATTTTAGCCTGGTCCAGAAGAAGGTTCCGGTGTTGTGGAAGACCACCTGTCTTGTTCCAGTACCAAAGAAAACTCACCCATCAGTCCTCAATGACTATAGACCTGTTGCCCTGACATCCCACATCATGAAGGTCCTAGAGAGACTCCTGTTGGCCCATCTGAGTAAGCAAACAATAAACTATCAGGACCCCCTTCAGTTTGCTTATTGCAGTGGAGTTGGAGTTGAAGATGCCATCATACACCTGCTTCAACAAACCCACTGTCATCTGGACAAAGCCAGCAGCACTGTGAGGATCATGTTCTTTGATTTCTCCATATCATTTAACACAATTCAACCTGATTTGCTTTGTCACAAACTCCAGAAGACTCAGGTGGAGGCCTCAACAATTTCTTGGATCAAAGACTACCTGACAAACAGACCACAGTTTGTGAGACTGAAGGGTTGTGTGTCTAACCAGGTAGTCAGCAGCACAGGAGAACCACAGGGGACTGTACTCTAACCATTCCTCTTCACTCTGTACACCTCAGACTTTCAGTACATGACAGACTCCTGTCACCTGCAGAAATACTCGGATAATTCTGCAGTTGTGGGGTGGATCAGAGATGGACAAGAAGATGAGTGCAGAAGGGTGGTGGACCGCTTTGTGGCATGGCGTGAAAACAATCATCTGATCTTGAATGTGACTAAAACAAAGGAGATGATTGTAGATTTTAAGAGAAACAGGAATAAGTCAAAAACTATTTCCATCATGGGAGAAGAGATGGAGGTGATAGTATAAATACCTCGGAGTTCACCTGGACAGCAGACTGGATTGGAGATGCAACTGTGAAGCCATCTACAAGAAGGGACAGAGCAGACTGTACTTCTTGAAGAAGCTTAGGTCCTTTGGTGTTTTCAGGAGATACTGCATATTTTCTATAAGTCTGTTGTGGAGAGTGTGATCTCTTCTGCCATCATCTGCTGGGGAAGCAGCATCAGAGCCAGGGACTTAAAAAAGCTCAACAAGCTGATAAAGAAGGCTG